GTGGTGGGGGAAGCATGGGAAGGGGTGGCAGGGGGAGCACAGGTGAAGGGACTCAAAGTACAGGGAAGGTGGCACAGGGCATGGGGGAAGCGGAGCCCAGAGAGAGAGGAAGGCAGGGAGAGGGCATGGAGAGAGAGAGAGAGAGAGAGAGAGAGAGAGAGAGAAGCGGGGGAGGGCATGTTGAGCAGCAGGGGAACTGCTATGGCTTTGGCCCTGACTCCAACTGGGGTTGAAGGCTGAAGCCAGAGCTGCCGCCACTACTCCTTGGTCCAGCCAGGTGCTCTGTGCTCCCAGGGGAGATGCAGCAAGAGCAGCTGCAAAGGTAAGGAGGAGGGGGGCAGGCACAAGAAAGGGACAGATGGTAGGAGGGAGAAGGCACTGTGGGGATTAGGCAGCATGGAGGCAGGTACAGGGGCAAACAGCAAGGTAGGGTGGAACAAGGGGAGTAGGGCAGGGTTCTCCCCCTCCTCCCCTGCTACTTTTCCTGTGTCGGTGGTGGGAGGAATGAATTTAAGATGACCCTCCAATAACTAGATTCTATGCGTGGAAAATTAGAAACTTGTTTTAATTTTCCATGTCTACAATCTAATAATTGGGCAAGTAATCTTGAATTCAGGGTTTTCTTAGATTCGAGTGATTGTGGTCATTTTAAAAATTGCTTCTTGAATATACCAAAATAAAAACTGACCATTACTGGGAAGTCTTGCAGGTGGAGAGTGTGCTTTGGGACTCTGGGAGCTATCTAGGTTTTGGGTTACTCTAGGTTACATTACAATAAAAGCTTGGACCTTTCATTTATAATGGAAGGTTAAACCTATGGTGGCAAAGATTTAAACTTCCAAAGTTCTCAAGGGAGCTTTGGCTGCATAATTCTAATTAAAGTCAAAAGGAATTTTGACTGTTCTTGCAGTGTACTCCTAACCCCATAATAAACATTTGTTTTGGTTATGTGTTCACTAAGCTCCACTGAATTTTAATAGGCATTTTCTTCTTGCAGGCTTGCCTGTTGCAATTCCAAACCTGGGCCCCTCCTTGAGTTCTTTGCCCTCTGCCCTATCTCTGATGCTCCCAATGGGTATTGGGGATCGAGGAGTGATGTGTGGTATACCAGAGAGAAACTACACCCTACCTCCACCACCGTACCCTCACCTGGAGAGCAGCTACTTCAGACACATTCTACCTGGTAAGTAGCATGGCTTTGACAACTAAAAGTGAGATCACTCTTAAGGGAGTGCCATACCAAAAGGTTGATAGCTTCTATTACATTAATGTGACTGAGAGAGAATGTTCTGCATAGGGGATCCATGATATGGAATACTGAATGCTCCCATCTTTTGTGCATCTATATACCACTGTATAAGCAATACATGGAACCACCATGTTGGTTCAGTGTACTAGATATTTAATCCTTACCTCTGTGTACTCCTCCGCTTGGTTCAGTATTTTGCTTTACTTTTAGGCTCAACATATATATGTTGACATACATGAGACTGTGTATTTCAAACTCTGCTATTTTCGTTCCATTTCCAGTAGACCTTACTGCAAGATCAGTGTGAATTTAAGACTTAAGTTATGGTAACTTCATCTAAGAACAGTTTCATTTCTAGCATTCCAGGGGCTTCTGTATGAATGGTTTTATCCTGCTCATCAAAGAAAATAAACCTTTCAGCTGGAAAGTCTGGGGATTTCTCGTCCCACAAAGTTCTCTTATTATTCTCTAGCTGTTGTGATTGGCTTGGCATATTAGTTTCTATTACGATTTCCCCCTTCTTTCCAGTTCAGGTCTGCATTTTTATTTTTGTAATGTAATGGTTTTCTGTGTAAGAATGTTTTCA